TACTGCTACTGCTACTGCTACTGCTACTGCTACTGCTGCTGCTACTGCTACTGATACTGCTACTGCTACTGCTACTGCTACTGCTACTGCTACTGCTGCCACCACCACCGCCACGACGACGACTGCTACTACTGCTGCTACCACTACTACAGTACTACTATTACTACTACGACCGGCTCTGAAACACGGAAGCTCCGCAATCTCGACAAGCCCGGCCAAAAAAGGAAACAACGTCCAAAAAAGGAACCTGATAGGACCGACGAACCCGAATGCGACTGCAGTTTCCACGACGACGCAGAACACCCGAACATCGGTAGCAAATCAAATCAAAACCCGAAAAGACTAACACAGCGATTGCCATGCGAGCAGTGAACTTCCGCCGCTAGCAAGGGATTAGTAACTAAAACACAGCATCCGCCGCCTCCGGAGCGGTGCGCGTTCATGGCGAATCCCCTACTAGCGGTGGGTTTCGGACGCTGTCGGACGCAGACAATGCGAGCAGTGAATTTCCGCCGCTAGTAGGGGATTAGTAACAAAAACACAGCCTCCGGCCCCTACTAGCGGCGGCTGCAGCGTACACGAACCCAAGGTCCCCCAGACAAGGAACATTGTATCATTTTACTGGCTGGTAGCCTGGATTGCTTTCTCAAGAAGCTGGTCAAGTTCATCGCAAGCCGGCCTTGTCCAAACACCTTGCAATACGCCGGAGAGGGCCAACCCCAAGTGGCAAGCCCTCTTCCGCTTCTCCTTGTTACTCCCTCTGCCAGCAGCACAAAGGCCAGCACCGGGCCCTTCCAATACGCAAGCAAGGGATGGTGATATTTCTTCTGCAATCCTGATGCTCCTTTTTGGTGTTACAAACAGCACTTCCATGCACCATCTGGCAGCTGCTTGAGCGTGGGGATGCGTTGCATCGTCAACTCGCACCAGCACGACCTTGTAGCGTCCGTCTTCCGTTAACATGCAGGACACCTCCATCTCCGCCGCTAGTAGGGGATTAGTAGCAAAAACACAGCATTCGCCGGTTTCGGAACGGAGCGTTTTCATGGCTAATCCCCTGCTAGCGGTGGGTTTCGGACGCTTGCCATGCGAGCAGTGAATTTCCACCGCTAGTAGGGGATTAGTCGCAAAAACACAGCATTCGCCGCCTCCGGAACGGTGCGTTCTCATGGCTAATCCCCTCGCGGACGCTTGCGGACGCTTTGCAAACGCTTTGCGAAAGCTCCGCACGGATTTCGTCAAATCCCTAACCTGCAGACCCCCAACCTCTTTAAACGAGAGCCTTGCTGCTGCGCATTCGGGGCACGGATTTCGCGTCAACTTCCTAACCCCCGGACCCTCAACCTCTAAACGAGAACCCTTCTGCTGCGCATTCGGGTGCCAAATGTTGGAGTGGTGCCGGTGGTTCCTGATCCGGTCTTGGTTGCTGCAAGTGTTCCCACTGAAGAACCCTGTCCAGGACGAGGGTATCAGCAGAATTTTGATGTTGTGGCTGCGGCGGTGCCAGCAGCGGTTGCGGTGCCAGGTGTTCGAGTGCGACATCCCTGCCGCAAGTCTTGGCAACGCCCGCCTCTTCCACCCACCTGGCCGATGCGCCAGCAGGGCACTCTGGGGCTGCCATCACAACGTACATCAACCAATGCCCCTCCTCATGCAGCCAGCGGCTCACGAGCCAGAAGCTGCCATCACCGATGTGAGCCTTAATCGCCTCAATCCACATGGCTGAATGCCAACCTGGAGCGATAGTATCCTCTGCATCCAAAAGTTTGCCCAGCCGTCGCCTTTCCATATGAAGTTTGTGACTGCCAACCCCAAGTGGCAAGCCCTCTTCCGCTTCTCGTTGTTACTCCCTCTGCCAGCAGCACAAAGGCCAGCACCGGGCCCTTCCGGTACGCAAGCAAGGGATGGTGATATTTCTTCTGCAATCCTGATGCTCCCTTTTGGTGTACAAACAGCACTTCCATGCACCATCTGGCAGCTGCTTGAGCGTGGGGATGCGTTGCATCGTCAACTCGCACCAGCACGACCTTGTGGCGTCCGTCTTCCGTTAACATGCAGGACACCTCCATCTCCGCCGCTGGTGTAGCAAAAACACAGTATTCGCCGCCTCCGGAACGGAGCGTTTTCATGGCGAATGCCCTGCTAGCGGTGGGTTTCGGACGCTTGCCATGCCAGCAGTGAGCCATGCCAGCAGTGAATTTCCGCCGCTGGAAAGGGATTGTAGCAAAATCACAGTGCGTTTTCATGGCTAATCCCCTGCTAGCGGTGGGTTTCGGACGCTGTCAGACGCTGGCAGTGCGAGCAGTCAATTTCCGCCGCTAGTAGGGGATTAGTAGCCCAAACACAGCATTCGCCGATATTCGCCGCCTCCGGAACGGTGCATTTTCATAGCTAATCCCCTACTAGCGGTGGGTTTCGGACGCTTTCGGACACAGGCAAATGCGAGCAGCGAGTTTCCGCCACCGGACTTGTAGGGGAGTAGAGCAGCGAATCCCCCGCTTTCGGACGCCATTTTCCGCCACCAGTAGGGGATTTGTAGCGAAGACACAGCTTTCACCGCCTCCGGAACGGTGCGTTTTCATGGCTCATCCACAACTAGGGATTTACTGGCGGTGGGTTTGGGATGCCTTCGGACGCAAGCAATGCGAGCAGCGAGTTTCCGCCACTAGTAGGGGAGAAGCAGAAATACGTCACGGAAACCAATAGTCAGCCGAAGCCCAACCCTCCTTCCCTGAATCAGATCAAATGCACGCTGCAAGTCAAAAGGCCTTTTGCTCGATGTTGGCGAAGGTGCTGGTCGTTCCAAGACACGAAAGGATCGCCGCCCGCGCACACTTCTTCCAAGTGCACAGCCAGATCACCAGCGCACACTTCTTCTAAGTGTACAGCCAGCTCTCCCGAGGCCGAGCTGTGCCACCGAGACCAGCAAGCACAACTGGGGAAGGGTGGGTGGGTAACAAAGATGTTCGAGGCTTTCGGCTTGCGCCAAAATGGCCACAATTTGGAAGCTCATACAGCCTCCACCTCCGGACTACAGGTGTTCCAGACATATTTACTGCGCCAATGCTTGGCTTCACAAATACGTCACGGACACCAATAGTCAGCCGAAGCCCAACCCTCCTTCCCTGAATGAGATCAAATGCACGCTGCAAGTCAAAAGGCCTTTTGCTCGATGTTGGCGAAGGTGCTGGTCGTTCCAAGACACGAAAGGATCGCCGCCCGCGCACACTTCTTCCAAGTGCACAGCCAGATCACCAGCGCACACTTCTTCTAAGTGTACAGCCAGCTCTCCCGAGGCCGAGCTGTGCCACCGAGACCAGCAAGCACAACTGCAACTACCTTCGCCTTTTCAATCCAGGCCTCTGAGACAATGATCACAAACGGCTGCCCCTTCAGGGAGCTCATCGTCATCAAAGAAAAGTTCTTTATTGCATGATGACATGAACTTCCAACCGCATTTGCAAATCCACTGATCGGGCTTGCTCAGAATGCAAGTCCTCTGATCTACATGGTGCAGAAACTTGGTGCGAGTGTTCAACACACCAATTGGAGTCACCATCTTTCTAAGCTCTGTGCGCATCTGGCCCATCAGATCCGATGGGAGCCTGACCTGCAGGCTCTCGCTTGCAAGATCCAACAGCTGCGCTTCCAAACGATCAAGCTCCCCGGATAAAGAAGCTTGACCCGCACAGACTTCGTGTTGTGCTTCTTCAAGGGCACTTATTCGTCCCACTGCGACTTGAATCATATCCGAGATTGACGAGGCATCTATGCATCGGAATGATTCGCGAGGGTTTTCTGCCCATGCTTCTTCAACATAGCCGAGGGTGGCCAAAGAGCTATGCCGAGCCATCCATTGAATTGTGGACAGAGGAATACCTCGCCTGGCCAGTTCCTTAGCGCCAGACCGTCTCGCAAAGTGCCCAGTCACTGTCGTAATCTCGAGTTGCGAAGCAGCTGGATTCGAAAGCTTAATCATAATCAACGAGGCGAGTCTTTGAGCTTCGTCAATCATAAACTTCTTATCCACAACCTTCGAAGGGCACGCACGTTGACCTACTAAAGGAAAAGCACCCGGCGGCACGTCTTCCAGTCGCGTGTGCCCAACTCTGCTCAGCTGGTTGCAGACTAAATCATCAGCAACATGAAATGGACACAAACATGGAGATGTTCGCGTGCATTCACATGCAAGAGTGCGCCACGCACCTCGGGCGGCCGGGTCGTTCTTCTGCACGCTCAGATGGAGACTAACAGTCCTCTGAGCGTAATCCAGTTTGATGCTTTGCGAATCGAGCGTGATGTACGCCAGCTCCGTTTCACGAAGCAGAAAGGCCGTAGCGAACACCCAAAGGGCAACACCACCCACTGGAGATTTCGGTCCGGCTACATGCGGGCATGGGTCTGAACCGAAATTCCTTGCCAGGCTTGCCCACCATGCAGGTCGAATCTCAGCCGCCTTGTTTGCATCGCCGATGGCCCTCCTCGCACCACGCTTGGCGTCTTGCAAGACTGCGTCGAGCTGAGGAGACCAAGCGAAACCTGCACGCACATGGCGGGCCTTTGCCTCATACAGACAAGCACTTACGGCCCGAAACCCGGCCGCACGGAGCACAGAAGAAATGTCAAAGATTGAAGCTTCAGTGACGGGCAGACTATCATAATTGAGGCGGGCGCACAGCTTCTCCCATAAGCCAAATAAAGATTCTTTCGTGCACACCGTGCTGGATGCATAAATCAAGCTTTTGAATTGACGGCGTGCCAGATCCATGCTATCTTGGGATGACGCCACTTCTAACGCCAATTCCGAAGATCCGCGCCTCGGACGCTTGGAATCTTGGGATGGTATCCAAGGCCCTCCTTGCCGTCTTCGGGTCAATACTTCGCCCGATGCTGTGATCAACGAATTCCCATCTAACATTGGAGTCCTAGTGCGCAAAGGCTCGTCACCAGCTGACAGAAGTGTAGCACCTCCTCCATACCCAGAGGGACGTGCATCTAGGCGACCCCGGCACGATCCTACGGACTCAGCGGCGCCAGAAGCACTTGTCGCCGTCTCATGTGCAAGAGCCGGAAGTCCCAACTCAGCACGAGCTGCGGCAACTGCGGGTGGCAGCTCTGGCTCGACGGCTGCCGTTAACAATGGCTTAGACCAAGTCTGACTCTTCAGCGGTCTCGATTTCTTCGCCCACGGCATCGCTACGCCTGAAACTTGCACTCATGTCCATGGAAATAAAACCCTCTATGACAAACGGCAATCAGAATCCTTTGAGAACAGAAGCTGAATCGCATCACAGGTTTCGAAACTGATGTTGACTGAAAGTGGCCCTTCTCACATCAACGATTTCAAAACTGATGGCGAGTGGCACTTGCGCAGAAGCTCAATCGCATCACAGGTTTCGAAACTGATGTTGACTGAAAGTGGCCCGTCTCACATCACCGATTTCAAAACTGATGGCGAGTGGCACTTGCGTAGCATACCCACCTAACTTGTTGCCACGTTTCATCCAGAATCAGTGCCAGACAAGCGGGAGACACATGAAGACAAGCAACAAAGATGGGCATGCAGGATCAATTTCAGCATGACGGCCATGCTCTGAAGTCAGTCTTGCCCCGTCTTGGGGCGGGCATACGGACGCAGTTCTGCAGCTGTGTCGGCACCTCAGAGCCGAGACTAAGTCGACTGAGTTTGTCAGCAATAAAGTTAAGTGAGCCAGGAACGTGCTGCCCCCACAAGGGCATCAGTTGTCTCACCTCCAACGACAATGCAATCTCAGCCGCCAGTGCGACCAAGAGCGGGGAAGATGCGCGATGCTCCAAAGCAGCTTGCAGCGTGGATGTGTTATCAGTACGAAGGAGAATCTGCGGCTTGACCGACAGTTGCTCCAGCATCGGAGAAAACACCTCCAGGGAGCACCACACTGCGAGAAGTTCCCACTCATTTTGATGAGTTGGGTCACCCTTGAGCGCGTGGAATGTTTCCAAATCCGATTGCATAACATCATCTGCCCACCATGCAGCGAAGCGGTCTCCGATCTTAAGAAAACCACCCATGCCAGTTGGACAGGCGTCAGTTTGAATCAACACTACTGGAGCAGATGGCCGCCATCGGAAGCATCGTCTTAAAGCCACTGTGCATGAAGCCACTTCAGTGCACCCTCCACCTGACGGATGAAGACCAGGCCCTTGCGGATGCGAGTGGTGTCACGCATAGGAGTGCGATGTTGAGTGATAGCTGCCCAAATCATAGCCAAGTATGGCCTGGCCAACGGCATAACACTTGACACCCAACCCAGCACTCCTGCAGCGTATTGAAGCAACTTTAGCGGGAATACTCCCTTATATTGTGCAATCTGGTCAAACACCGAAAGGAGTTTATCCCGCTTGGCTTGGGTAAGCTGCACCATCATGTCACCGGGCTTTGGCTGATGAAGCAAAATCTCGAATCCAATCCAGACCACTCTGCAACCTCGACATGCTTTGTTCCAGGCAATATCGAGCCCCAGTGCCGTCCACAGTGCCACATACCGAAGGAAGCCCAGAAGACGCAGGCGAGCAGTCCGACCAATGATGAACATCAAGGGGTCGTCAACATAACATACAGCGGATGACTCACCATCGTGCGCCACCGCCTGTGACAACCGCATCGCTGCACTGGCCAGTCTAGCCCAGAGCAACGGTCCCGGCGCCAACCCAAATAGTACAACCTTACTCACATGATACCGGCCATGTAGATCTTTGCTGACGACATAGCGGCGCTCGTCTTGTCGAAGAGGGAGCGAATGAAAGGCATCCCGAAAGTCAGTAGTAAACATCTCGATCTCATCGGGCGGGCGATGCCAGTTAACGCGCAACAGATGTTGGAAGGCTGACAAAGCGTCTGTAACTTTAGGCAAATCACTCGCTCACGAACCGTCATCAGACCATTCACTCCAGACCTTCTAGAGTCAACAACAAGACGGTACTTTGTTTCGCCGTTTTCTTCTATCTTGACAATACATGCAAGCCTGGTGACCTTAGCATCCGATCCCACCGCTTGACATACTGCCTCCCACGAATCAAACACCTCGGAGCGTCCAGCTTGATTGAGCTTGTCGAGGAGTTCCTGAGCCTTTTCACCGGCCTCTTCAAAGCTGGTGTAATTCACAATGGTACCGTCTGCATCACCCTGCAGCACTCCTTGGAGTCTGCTAGCCTCAATCGCCGCTGAATCTTCAGCCGTCTTTGGAAAGATGCCAGTGTTCTCGATGGCTTCTTGTATGCCAAGAGGAAATCCTTCAGCAAGCCATTTTGCTAAGACTTTTGCATCAGGATCTGCAGCATCGCGGAGCATTGCAGACCATAAGGGCGCTTGGAGGCCGGAGTCAACCGTAGCAACCGCGAATGCATCTGCAAGTTTCGCACGAAGCTCCGACACCCATGTGTCTTCCAATCCTGCAGTGAAGTCCGCTTCTAAACGATCAAGTTGAGCATCCCACGACATGGAGTCAAGAATCTGCCGAATTCTGGAACCCACATCTCTCAGCTTAGGCGACTTCTTGACGGCATGTCGCGGATTTCTGAGCCCTCCGATTGCATGAAGGTTTTCCCTTTCCCTGAGATCCCTGCTTGACTGATGTGTTGCAGGAGCTTCCAATGAATGTGTAGGTGCTCCTTGCCGCACCAAGTCACCCCGAACCAAGGTATTGTTCCATTTGCCCAGTTTTACCATAGTGCGTCGTTCCACCCACCGTTTTCCGGATGCAGAGTTCAACCAGCTAAGCAAGGCACGGGACCATGCCACACATAAACCACATGGATATTCAGCGGCCAAACTTGTGCGCCAGACCCACTCCTCGGCCACATAGTCCCATGCTTTGCCAACCAGACCTCCTCGAGCATGAAGGTGATGTCTGACGTCGTCACATAAAGAGCATACTGACTTCATCCACTCCGATGTGGTGACCAAGCAGGTTGGTTTCCTCGATGCCGCGCCGTATGCGCATTGATGAAGTAGCACGACATCTGACCCCTCTAACTTGAATAGCTTCTGCATCTTCGGCAGCAACCATTTCAAGGAATCCTCGGGATTTTCGATGGCGAATGTGGCGCCCCTTTGATGTAGTTGCAAGCAAAGAGCGATCACCCTTTCCACCATGCGATTTGCCAACGTTGCCTCGTCATCCCCGAAACCCTCCGGATGTGCGTCAGTACGCAGAAGCTTAACATGACCATGCTCATCACTGCGCCTGGCTCGTGTAAATGTCCTACAGGCCGGCCCGAAATGCCCATGATCAAACTCATTGCAGACCTGCAGACTGTGCTCAAAATGAGCGTCATCCAAGATGTCCCATTGACCGGCATAACCGTCCAATGAAGCTGTAATTTCCACTGCATCATCCGCCAAGCTCTTCAAGGAATTAGTGAAACCGCTTAGCCCGGCAAAAAACTCTGCAAACCTGAACTTTCGAACACCATGCCTGTTTGAATTCAAGGTGTCAGAGCTCGAGCGCTGAGGATATGCACGCAATACCTCCTGATCCGCAACCTCAGCGCCTTGCTCGTACCGTCACTTGGATCTCTTGCCATCTTTGCCATTGCCCTTCCCTTGTGAAGGGCATGAACAATTGGATGTTGGCCGAGGCAAAGTTGATAACAATGGGATCGTTCATCGGGGCACGGCTCACTACAAGCTCCCGGTTGCCCTTTTGAGAATCGATACCAAATTTGATTACCATCCCGATCTGTGACGAAGAACTTGCCGTACTTCTTTGGATGACCCGTCCCTTTACCAGATCCTTTTGAGTCGCCCTTCGTAGCCATGGATTGCATACCTTGACCAGAATTGAACGCATTTGCCGCATCAATCCGCTCTTTATCCCGCCGTCTGCGCTTGGCAGCTTTGGATCGGCCTTGTCCTGGAGGGTTGTGTGCAATCTTGATGGTACCCATAGCCTGTGCCGCCCCTTCCGGTACACCCGTCTCCTCAGCATCATTGTTTAACATGCGTCGCCCAACACCCCCTCGTATGAGGAAGTTTTGTGCAGGACGAATCACCTCCGCAGTCCAGTATGCCTCATCCCGAGCAGCAAAGGTGAACACACCTGGCCAAGGTTGATCAGGATCGAAGCTAAGGTTCATCGGAAGCCGTCCTTCCAACCTTGCGCGAATTAGCGACCTCCGAATCCGTTCAAAATGCTCACCTCTGCAACGATCCTCGGCCTTCATGACCAGTGACCAACATTCTGGAAAATCCCTGCACAGCTTTGCTATGCACTCATGATATTCTTCCAGTGCGGCCATTGTAACGATCGGCTTACGATCCCCAGCATTGTTTGGGAGATGACGTAACATCAGCAGTATCACCCTGTAGATCTTCCAGCAGGCGTGCCATGATGAATACGAAGCTGGACCCGGCAACTCCGTCTGCTTGAATGTTCCGTCTTCCTGCAAGAAATAGCCCTTTGCTTTGAGCTGTTTCTGCATACGCCTCCCGAAAGGGGTCAGCACAGAAAAATCAGCATAAGGTGTATCGCCCTGTACGACGATTTTGTTGTGCATGACTGTAAGTTGCTCAGCCGTCGGCTCTGAATCACTGGGTGGGTCACTCCCGGTGAGCTCGCGGAATGTTCGGTATGCTTCATCCACCTCTTTCTTCTCAATCAGCTCCAGCTCAGTATCGTCCAACTGATCTGCAATCTGTGCTACCTTGACTCGCTTGGTTCCAACTCCAACCTTGCTACTTCCCACGGCCACAGGAGTAGGAACGGATGGAGATTGTGGGGGCAGCTGTATTGCAGGAGCCATCACGTCCACATCTGGCATATTGAAGGCTTGTCTACACACACGCCAGATCAAGCCCAACTGAACTGACTCAACAGCGGACAAAGGCAGGATCACCTGGTAAAGGGAGTCCAGCCGCATCTCGTTGTGGCAGTCGCAGTGTGTGCAGCATATCTCGCATGACATTCTGTGGAACTGAAGCTAACACCCGCATCGAAGGCACACCACCCAGATTGGAACTAGCAAAGCGCCAAGTCTCATGATCTAGGCCTGCCCAATCACGAACTGCATCAAGATTAGTCAGCGTCGCGAGTTCAGCAGTGCCAGGCAAAAGACTCAACGCCATGCATCTGAAACACAAGAGTCGAAGGTAACAAAGATGTTCGAGGCTTTCGGCTTGCGCCAAAATGGCCACAATTTGGAAGCTCATGCAGCCTCCACCTCCGGACTACAGGTGTTCCAGACATATTTACTGCGCCAATGCTTGGCTTCACCAAAAACACAGCATGCGCCGCCTCCGGAACAGCGCACTTTCATGGCTAATCCCGGCTATAATCCTCCACTAGCGGCGGTTGCGGACGCTTTGTGGACGGACGCGAGCAGCGAGTTTCCGCCACTAGTAAGGGATTAGTAGCAGAAACGCAGCATGCGCCGCCTCCGGAACGGTGCATTTTCATGGCTAATCCCCTACCAGTGACGCTTTGCGGACGCTTTCGGACACAGGCAATGCGAGTTTCCGCCACGAGCAGTAAGGGATTTAAAAGCAAAAACACATCATTCGCCGCCTCCGGAACGGTGCGTTTTCATAGCTATAATATGCTATAATCCCCTACTAGCCGTGGGTTTCGGACGGTTTCGGATGCAGGCAATGCGAGCAGCGAGTTTCCGCCAGTGGTAAGGGATTAGTAGCAAAAACACAGCATGCGCCGCCTCCGGAACGGTGCATTTTCATAGCTAATCGCCTACTAGCGGCGGCCTCGGACGCTTTGCGGGCGCTTGAGGCCGTTTGCGCGAACGCTTGCGAACGCTCCGCACGGATTTCACATCAATTCCCTAACCCCGAAACCCCCAACCTTTGAACGAGAACCCTTCTGCTGCGCATTCGGGAAACATATCTAAAATACCGTAACATGCCCACGACAAAACCTCCAGCGTAGTTTCCATATGTCTCTGCCGGTTTCCCTGGCCTGCCGCCCCTCTGCATTTCTGCGAAATTTCCCGAAACCGTCATCAGGGATCCGGGATGATTCCCAATCTGTCCTGTTGATCTTGAATGCAACGAAATGAGTAAAACGGAAGTGCCTTCCACTTCCACACCGGCCGGATTCCCTCCAGCTCTGCCACAGCCCTTTGCAGCAATCGCTCCCACATGTTGCGTGCATGTCTGCGCCAGTTTGGCAAAAGAAATTACAAGAAAACATCGCTAGTGCACACAGTGTGCATGCAAACCCTGGACGGTCGATACATTTCCGCAACCAGACTGGGATAGACTTGGGTACAGCCATATGTGGCAAAACACGTGTGCATGAAATAATGCATTCGGCCGCGCGGCGGGAGCTGAACAGCTCGCCGTTTGTCATGTTCAACTCCAAGTCGGCTGGAAACGCGTTCATGATCTGCGCGCCAACCTCACTTGCAACACGTGGGGTCGGTCTAGCCCGCACGGGCAAGATGTGGACCAAGAATTGTTTGGAGTCGGTTTTTGCCACCCGGCAGCCGCATGTGCATCGCGAAGTTGCCAAAGGTCAGGTAACAACCGCGAAACGATCACGAAGAACCTGCATCACACGTCCCGTGCATCAACTCTCTGCCACACATATCAGGGCAACATGTATCAGGTTACATCAGGCAAGGATCTGGAGAGTGCCCAACAATGTCAGCGAGCTGGCGGCATAGAGCAATGCCATCCCTCGCACGACTTTTGAAAGAACGATACAGGCCGAGAACCCATTGAAGCACAACGCAATACCAGATCAAGTTGTGACCTGTCGGCACTGTGATTTGCATGCGAGGCACACACATTAGCCGAGTCCAGCAATCCAAGTTTTTCTATAGAAGATGGCGCGATGTGCCAAACATGCCCCTTTCCGGCAAAGACCATTCTGCTGATACAGCGGTAGCACAGCAGCACCTGACAAGGCGAAATGTACCTCCAGCGTAATCTGCGGCCTTTACACGAAAACGAAGAACATCAGGAAAAGCTTTGTTGGTAAGTGAAGCCAAGTCGCTAAAACCAATGCATTGATGACGACAACTTCTGGACTCAGTTTGACTGGTGGCCATAGCAGCAGTCCTGAGCTGCTCACAAGCGAAGCATAGCCAAGCACGTCCTTGCTACGCGCCGTCGTTCCCCCCGGCCTCCCAGCACGGTTGCTCCGCCAGCCCAAATCCACATCGGCTCACGGGCAGCCCAGGCATCATCGGGCAGCGCACACGATTACAGCCATCCGCTCCATGTGTAAAGCTCAACGAACGGCCCGCATAATTGCAACCCCTCGCGACATTCTAGCATGATATTCGACGCATGTTTAAGGGCAACACATCCGGCCTCAACGCGACTGCCTATCACATGTGGGCATATTGGTTCTCGCTGCTGCTCTGCTATAAGCTTCATGCGTGTCGCTTGGAAAACACAGCTGCCGTGAAATGCCGCCCGACTCGTCGATCCTAGTGTGTCTGACGAGGACCAGGCATTTTCTTCTCAGAAGCTGCATCAACCGGGCACCAAAACCCGCTGCTGCCACCCTGTGGTAGTCGGCGTCGTGATCGGTGGCATCGGTCGTGAGGCTGCCCAATTTTTTTAAACAGCTTTCTACTAGCCTACGTTGGCGCCGGGGGCTTGAGCCCTGGCTCAACGCCCCTGCGTCCAGCCAACTTCCACTGTGTTGAAGGGGAGTTCGAGCAAAGAGCTGGCGAGGGCCCTCTGGGCTGCGACAGAGATGATGCAGCCGCACGCAGAGCCGAGCGAACGGCAGCGTGACCCCGTGCAGCTCGCGCTCGCGCAAGGAGCCTCAGGAAGGTGGCAGGCTCGGAACCCCAGCGGCCACCCAATTTGCTCCGGCTTTCCACTCACCTCCACTGGAACCGTGAATCCTGGTCCCCGTGCAAACACTGCGTGCTACAAGCCCAGGAGGCTGAGGATGGGAGGGCCTGCGTCGCGCAAGACCAGGACTTCCTCGAGCACCTCTGTACGCCGCTCCGAGGAGCATGGCAGCAAGCGAACGTTGCAAGCGGCGCAGCCCATCCTGCTAAACGCATGTCCACCACGTAGCAAGGTGGACAGCACGCCGCCCGTGCACGAAAGGGGCGACCGCTTCGTTGCTTCAGCTCCCCCGTGCTACCGGGCTTGCGAAAGCACCGAGTCAGACCTACATGAGGTCCTCGCTGATGCTCGGTGGCAACACAATGTCCCACGGTTGCCCCTGCGCTAGTCGGCAGCGTCCCCCGACGCCTTGCGGGCGCATGCGTGGCTTGCGACGCAACTGTAGGTGGTAGGACCGGGATCCACCATGGGCAGTCGCGTTGGCTTTGCTTAAATCGTTTGAAGGATGCCGGAGCTGAATTGCGTTTATCGTCAACTCAGTTCGGTTTTTTTTTTTTTTCCCGCTGCCGCTGGCGTCCGTGGCCTTCACACAGGCTGCCTAAGTCCTAACGCCTACGGGCTGCTACGGCCGGAGCGGCA